TACCTATGATATCCACACAGGCTCCAGGCAATCTCTCTAGTACTTTAGAATTAAGCTCTTCAGCATCACAATTACGAACAGTCAATAAAGCGACTTTTGCAAGTGTAGAGGGGTCCTTCAAAATATCAGCGCTGTATACCCATTCAATGATATCTGCTTCAGTAGCCATACAAAAAGAAGGTGGTATAACGATGTTATCCTCGTCAGAAAAGTTTTTTCCCAAACCAACAGAAAGGAGCCAATCGGCGTGTTCGCGATCGTCGAGACCCAACCTCATATTTTCATCAAGGGTAAACGTTTTGAAATACTTCCACAATTCACTTCGTTTAAAGGTAATGTCCACAGTCTCTTGACGCGTGGCTCCCTGGAGAACGGGCAAAAATTGACACCAATCTCCACCCAAAACCAATGTTACACCAGCGAATAAGGAAGAGGAAGCAAGCGGTGAGGCTACATCACGCAAAAGTCGTTCAACGCACTCTAAAACAAAACGTGATTGCATTGAAATCTCATCCCACACTATTACATCAACAGCATTCAATGTCTGACCAATAGGCGAAGAAGCATCTACATTAGCCACTGATAAGCTATTCAAACTCTTTAAAGGAAGACGAAAGAGGCTGTGTGCAGTTCTACCATCTTTGAGAAGAGTAGCAGCGATACCAGTAGATGCTGTAGCCAAAACCTTTTTACCGGCTTTCTCCAAACGATCGATCAGGGCATTAAGCGTGTAGGTTTTACCACATCCCGCTTTTCCATCAATGTAAAACAATTTATTTCCGTTAGTTTTTGGTGTGAGAGATGCAGCAAAAATGGTATCCACTATTTTTTGTTGCGCACGTGTAAGTACGAAATTACGCACAGGCGTATCATATTCAAATGTCTCTCTTTCCAAGGATATTTCGTTCCCAAGGGCATTAATTAGATTGTCTCTGATTACTTTCAACCCACAATCTTCCAAAGACATACCATTACGTGTTAAAATACTATCAATATGGTCAATAGAGCGCATATCTAATTGGTCATCTGTCTCTGTAATTGAGCGCGGTCTCATGGCTTGCTTATACTTTTCCCACAAATAAACCGGGTTTGTTGGATGGCAATATAGCAGTATTTGTGCGTATAGCCGGCGTATATCAGTTGGCATGTCTGTCTCACACGCACTGTCTAAACAATCCTCCCACTCTTTTTCTGTCTCTACATAACCAGCTGCTGCAGCAGCTTCCATGAACGTTTCGTAGAGGACACCTCGAACGGTGCGAATATCTTCAAAGGATGAAGCCCCGCGCGTGTAAAATAAGAGTTTTCTCAAAGCATATAACTCACTAAATTTGGGACTGACGGAATAAATGCGCGCAATACGTCGCCCATTATTCTTAAAGAGTTCGTATGCTGATCCGTTAAAATGAAACTGCTCAGCAACTTCGATCCAAGTCAAATTCTTGGCCCGTGGACAAGTTTTGACCAAATCAAAATAAGCCAGCAGCTTACTTCTCGGCATGATTTTGCGCTGTGGGAGTCCTTTGAAATAGACAGGTTCCTACCCTGGTAGATGCGCGCTTAGTGAAAAAACGGTATGTAAATTATATTGCATTGGAAATCCTAGTAGACGATAAGCGGACTCCATATGCGATAAATAACGTGCTTCTAGAAAAGTTTTCCGCGTATCTACATCAACTACGCCTTGCTTATTTGCAGCAACTTCTACACCAGGCTGCAAACCCTTACTATAAAGTAAATCAAAGATCAGTTGGTCAGGTCCCTTGTAAATATACTTGAAAATGTATTTAAAAGCCGAAATAGAGCAGCAACATTCCACGTTAATGTGGCATTGGTATTTTGAAAGAAGGTAGGGATTATAAGGTACTATGTCACGATTACAAGCTTTAGATATTTTCTTTGCTCCGACAAGTACGGTTCTTCCATTATCTCTACGACGATAAAGAGGATAACCATCATTACACAGTTCTGTTTCATTTCGAAAAGATTTCGGGAAACGTTTTTCACAAAAATCAGGATTTCTAGAACGACAAGCAAGATGCGGTCGATCTTTGCAAGGACTGTGTACCATGAAACGTGAGACTAAATGTAACATTGAAAGCTTTTCCAACCTTTGCGGGTCGTCGTCAGATGGATGCTCCGGAAGTTCCGCCGAAATTATTTCATCAACTTTATCGGGGGTGTTTATTTTGTTTTCTAAAGTCAGCAGTATATGTGCATGAGGCATCCCCCTCTTTTGAAACTCAACACTGTACTGCAAAGCATTCACTTTGCCAAAAATCTGCTTGTCGACCAAGTCGCTAATCAGATTTTGTAGTCGCAGCCTAAATACGCGCGCGCACAAGAGTGGATCTGTTATCCAAGAGTCGAACTGTGTAACCAAATTCTCACGGATTTCAGGCCAATCTTGGTTACCAGTGAAAGTAATAAAAAGATCAGGTCTACCAACACGTTGTGCAACCGTCATGGCGTTGTGGTACAAGTCATCGTACCATAGCCTACTGCCAACGAAATGACGTGGCAAATTTACGAGCTTTCCCAGCTTCAAACCTTTCTCTTGCAGTTGCTGATCAAGATAGCTATAAAGTGTGCTAGCTTTAGAGCTTCTGATTTCTGTACTGTTCAGTCCTACTGCAGAAAGACGATCAGCTTCAATCCTACTGAATACATGTATGATAAACTGTGGCAAAAGTTTACCGCTACCTAGAAACGATGTTCAAGTAAATTACCTCGTCGCGAAAGCACAAAGCGATAAAATTGAGCTCTAGATAAAAATTTACGAGATGAAACGCTAAAGTCATTCTTTTCGTTATCTTCCTCATCCAAAGAATCATTATCATTGTTTCTAGCTGCAGGACGTTTTTTCGCTCGTTTACGTAAACTTTCGCGAACATAACTCTGCTCACCTCTAGTGAAATACAGAGGGTAGGTCATTGCATCAATATTGTTATCGTGATGTGCTGCTATAGATTTTCCACCAATGCTCATAATGCGCAATACTTTATCTAGTTCTTCATGTGAAGGCATAACACCATTCCGACAAACATAAATAGCTGCGATTTGATTATTTACTTGTGGAACATTCAGGCAACCTTCGTGGGTCGTAACGAGCTGCTCGCGGGATATTTCACGCTTGTGTTTAATGTTCATCAAAACCTTCGGAGATATCTCACTCTCACTTGATTTATGACTCTCCATTTCAGACACATAAATTTCATACATTGATCGGTAACACTGTGCAATAACGTTTTGTTTCTTCATTATAGCATAATTTTTTCTATGAGCTTGTGATCTACTTTGATTCTCCATTGTTGCATGGTTTTTTTCAACGAGTTTGTAGCTTTGAAATCATCACAAATACCGCTACCGTAAAAAGTGCTAGAGTGCTGGCCAAAACTATAGGTCCACCCGGGAAACTGCCG